ATCAGGTTTTGAGAAAAATTGAAGCAAAACCAGAACAGATTTTCAGAATGTCTCGTTTCAACATGTCCCACTTGGACATCAAGGTCAAAACCCAGCTCAACATCAGCCTCAGAAATCCTCTTATGTTTGAGAAATTTTTGAGAAATTAAAATGTTATATTTGAGAAATCTTTTCTATGATTTTTAACCCAATAAAACTTTGTATAACTTTTCTAAACCAAATAAGAAAAATTTATCACAGCTGAATATTCCCAAAATGGAATGGAACTAAAATTGCAGACACACACAGACACACGTACAGAGACACACGCATGCACACACATACTCATATACACATACACATACATACATGCGAGAACACCATGAAATTGAGGTCAATGTTCGGCGATACGAAGTTTGTGTTCATGGAGCTTTGGATGATTGGATTTTTTGAAAAAATCAAAAATGTTGAACTTTTGCTCAAATGAATATTGTCTATTATATCTTTGACTATTTTTGGATCCATTGTGAATCCACGTCCGGAAATTGGGCTGTTTTAACTTTAGAATGAGCTCATTCGTCGTACGGAGAACCCAAAATGGACGGACGCGCAAAAGCTCAAGCGAAAATTACTGCAAAGACGGAAATAAAATGTGAGTTGATCAGTTTCTGACCATATAGTGAAAGCCGAATTTAGCCAACAAAGAAGAAAATTTGTGCGCAAAAGGTTGGAGATGTGTTCAACGAGTTGTTGGCTGAGGTTTGTGTGAGATTTGTTAGCTTCAGTGTCACTTACATCAGATTTTCCCCAAGTCAATAAGCCAGTCGAAAATGCTAGTGAAGAACAAACTTTCCTGAAGTAATCTCAAAACTTTTGAACTTTTAGGAGTTTCAGAATGTGCTCGCGTGTCGCTCATTGAGCATTGCAAAAATCTCGGCACTCATCGAATTTTCGAAAAGTAAACGCGACTTTTTCTCGAGGACTCTTTATAAATATGATAAATATGGGGAATTGTCTAAGCTGCTTGACAAAGTGCTCGTCGACAACTGGATATTTTTCTTTTACTATCTGGTGAGTCGATAATTACCGGTACAACTAATCAATAAACCCATACCAGTCTGCATTCTAATCAGGATTATTTCAAAGAAATGCTCCGTTGTCACTTTTTCATGCTTACATGGGTAAAGTATTGATATAAAAGCGATTTTTCCGGGCCTGTCTTGACTTGGCTACGTTCTGAGGACTCGTTGAGGCTGACATTGGCCTAGCTTTAATCTGGCCTGGCCTAGTTTACAGCCCTAATGATAGCTTTAATATTCAAAAAGATGACAAGGACCTTGACAAAGAAAACCAATTTTCAGCCACACAAAGGCTTCGGCGAGTGGAGCACGCTGAACGAGTACGAACGAGTACGCAGAGATCTTCCGTTAAACGTCCCGACCGAGACCCACATCGCTTTACCGAGCGATATAAAAGAGTAGTTCAAGGTAAAGAAAAATGTTTTTGTTTTGTAAAATAGTTTCCAAGAATTCATTTCAGAGGCGAGAACAGGAAGAACGGGAGCAAAGAGAAAATGTGCAGAAACGACGACAAGGCGAGATATCGAGGAACAGATTCTTTTTGCTGAAGCTTCCAAATATCATCTACAATTCAGGCAGGAAATAGCTTAATAACTAACATTGTTATTGGGTTGATGGGTATGGAATGTCGCTAAGAATAAACAACTGATTTATTCAGTCTTTTACATGCAATCATTATCAATATTTTCCATTATTTTGGATACTTTGAGCTCATTTCACCGGCAAAGAGCAGACCCTTTTTTGTAGAAAATTTTTTGGTTTTAATGCGAATTAATCCGTAAGCCACTTTTTGACACATCATATTCGAAATTAAACGTTTATTGATCAAATCATTGCTCATCACTCGGAATCAATAGTTATCAGAAGGCGCAAGCTTAGAGCTGTATGCAGGATGGGAATCACCCCCATTGAGTTTAGTTTAAAACGAGTCATCCTCGAAACGTGCGGTCTGCCATTATGATGATCTCTAGCAAAGATTTGACTGATTTGACTGAGTATTTGATTGAGTTGAGTGTTATCTTGCTAAATGACGCCCAATGACGCTTTCACTGAAAGTTGAGAGTTAGAATTCATTTTCATCCTTTGCCACAAAGTAAAGAGTAAAAACGATTTGCGCTCGAATCGAGAAAGGTGAGCGGCGCTGATTGAATCGCGTTTTCATTTCTGGGTGTCTGTTAAGTCTTTTAAGTCAGTCTGTTGTTTCTGTTAAGCCATGTCGAATCCAAGCCTCTAATTTTGCCCCAGGTTTATCCAAATTTTCGACGATGATCAACGAATAACTCTTCTGCTATTAGGAAGGAAGCCCGTTGGTTTGAAAAATTTCGAGCAACTTGGCATTATCTAGCTGAACTGCTGGATGACCCCTCAGTTTGTTTTCGTTTATCCCCGGAACGAAATTTAGCAAACCAATTTGCACATGGAGCTTCTCCTTTTACATAAACATTTTTAATATTAGCTGAACACTACAGGCCATTATGTTCTTGTAGAAATTCGTACAATGTAACGTGTCGCAGATGTACAAGTGGCAGATGTCCAAGTGGCAGATTTCCAATAGCCAGTTGACAAAATTTCGAAATAACAAAAACCGAGGAAACCCGGTTTCATTGTTTTCAGAAAAGTGTTCTTGACTTTATTTGTTTGCGAATTCGAAGAATCGGAAAAATAGTGACATTTCATACCAATCAAACCATTATCTAAACACCAAATAAGCTTGCCCTTAGCTTTCTGTTTTGAAATAATACAATTGTTAAATTTCTAGACTTTATATAATAATATAATAATACTTTATTCAAACGATAAAGTGAAAGAAATCATAGAGAAATGCACAGTGATACTTAATCATACAATACATACTGAAATCAATAAGCCAATTACTTACGGCAAAGAGCCACTAGATCTAAAGCATCGATACGTTTCTTGAATATGAAAAGCGACTGAATTTCTCGTATGTCGTTTGGGAGCAAGTTCCATAATCTAGCGGCTCTAACGGGAAATGAATTTGATAAAGAGGCATTGGAAGCAGAGGGAATTTGCAAAAGGAATGAGCCACTTCTGGGCCCTGACCGCGGTTTAAATTTGAAAAAGTCTATAAACAAAGGGCTAATCTGTTTACAACGGAGGATTTTGAAAGTTTCGACTAAATCAATGACAAAGCGACGATGCTGTAAAGTTTTTAGTTCAAAAAAAGCAAGTCTCTCCTCATAAATCAAACTAGAATATTTAGAATAGTCAATTTTCCATAAAGCTACTTTTGTGAACCTCCTCTGAATTTTCTCCAAGCGTTCAATAAAGACTTGTGCGCGGGAGACCAAACAATAGAAGCATATTCTAAGATGGGCCGGATATAAGTCGTCAAGCATTTGCGGTAAGAGTTTAGGTTAGGATGAACAATTGATTTGAGAATACGGCTAGAAACAAAAGAAGCTTTTCGACAAATGATTTCAATATGTTTAGTGAAATTAAAAGGGGGAGAGATGTGGACACCTAAATCTCTAACAAAATCTAATTTACTAATGTAATTGATAGGAATATTGTTAATTACCAAAGAGAAACTGAATTTACCAGTGGAAAAATGTTGAGATTTTGAAGGGGATAGGGAAAGCTTCCACGTTTTAGCCCACAAATTAATAAGTTCTAAGTCATGGTTTGCATCTTTTCCAGCCGCAAGCGAAGCTACTTGAGTTCCGATGGGAATTTTGAACGTAAGCTTAACATCATCGGCATAGAGCCAGATGGAGGAATTTTTTGATTTGAAAGGACAGTTAGGCAGGCCATTAATATAGATAGTAAACAAAAGAGGACCAAGAATACTACCCTGAGGAACCCCGCTAGGACAATCAAAAGAGGGAGAAAGAACATTATTTAGAATTACTTTGAAAGTCCGCTGAGAAAGAAAATTTTTGACGACCGAAATTACAAGTGGGCTGAACCGGTAAGCATGCAGTTTGTGAATTAGAAGATCAATGGGAACAGAATCAAAAGCTTTTGCAAAATCTAAGAAGACGGCTTCTAGTTGGGAAATAGATTTTTCTTTTTGATCTAAAGCTTTGAAAAAGGACTTATAGGCTAAAATAAGTTGAGATGTTGTGGATTTATTTTTAAGGAAGCCAAACTGCTGGTCAGAAAAAAGATTGTACTTATCAAAATGTTGAAAAATTTTATCTTTTATGATAATTTCAAAAAGTTTTGACACAGGAGAAGTTAAAGAAATGGGACGATAATTAGCGAATATAAAGTCACCAAAAAAGGTATCGGTAACAATACGAAATGAAATGAGGAAAAAGCTATGCTCAAAATCGTGATCCTAGATCAGCTGGCAAGTTTACAATAATTCTCTTTCCTCTTTTAAAAACTAAAATTTTAAAAAAAAAACTTAAAATAAAAACTGAAATTGAGAGATTTGCGTTCAGAATAATGAAACTCTTATCGTCATTTTTTTATATTTACATTTTTACATTTTTATAACAGCGATTTGTTGCTGATGAAAGAAAGAAGCAAGAAAAATGAAAATTGTGTAGCAATTGTAATTGTAATTGTAAGTATTGAATTGTAAGGATTGTAAGTATTAAATCAAAAGGCACGAGTTACAAAACGAAAGGAACAAAATTAAAGGAACAAAACTAAAGGAACTAAAGGAACAAAATTAAAAAACAAAACTAAAGGAACAAAATTAAAGGACAAAACTAAAGGAACAAAATTAAAGGAACAAAATTAAAGGAACAAAATTAAAGGAACAAAACGAAAAGAGCAAAACTAAAGAAACAAAATCAAAGTAAATTCTCATCTTGTTTTTCTTTTTGCATCAAAGTCATTAAAAGTCGATCTAGTTATTGAAATTTAAGCAATAAGTGAACAATAAAGACGCAAGAAACAGTGAAATATTTTATTAGAAATGATTATCGATAAGAATAACAGCACGGTAATACCCAATAGTTTTATCTACATGAGCCGACATGATCCTTTTTGTTTTTCTTGAGCAGCGATAGCCTCTTGTCGACGGCGTTCCTCGGCTAGGCGCAAACGATCGGTTGCTTCTTGTCGTATCTGAAAGCTTGAGATTAAAGTTAAACTTTAAAGATTTTTTACCTTAAAGATGTAAGTAATACATAGAAAAGAACTTTTATATTTACACAATTAACCATCTATAGTACTAGACAAAAACATATGAAGTTCCGGATTTTTTCCCCAACTTTGAAGCTCTATAACTCAAGAACTATACATTAAAGTATTATAGTGATTCTGAAAGCTTGAAACGAGATGTATAAGATGACATATTTGATTTTTTGATTTGCTTTAATTTTTGACCAATTTCAAGGCACGCAAAGTAGGGTATCACAAAATTCACTTTTTTGACACGCGGAATCTAGAAGAAAAAGCGTGTTGAAAAAGTGAATTTTGTGACATCCTACTTTGCGTGTCTTGAAATTGATCAAATAAAGGCAAATCAAAAAATCAAATATGTCATTTTATACATCTCGTTTTAAGCTTTCCGAATCACTATAGCACTTATAGAGTTCAATGTACAGTTCTTGAGTTATAGTGCTTCAAAGTTGGGGGGAAAAATCCGAAACTTCATGTGTTTTTGTCTAGTACTGTTTTTAGATAAAGCAATAAATTGCTTTAAGAAGATAGCCGATCTAGCGCATAAGGCTTAGTGGTAATGGTTCTTAACTTATTGTCAGTTATGGCAGAGATGTTCCATTTGGATTGAGCTTGTAAGACGGCTGATCAGGCCTAGCTTCTGGCTTTATTTGATATTTATATTTACATACAGTTAACTATCTCTTTATATGAAGCAATATAAGCTGCTTCAAGATCGTAACAGATCTAGCGCATAAGGCTTAGTGGTTTTAAACTTATCGGCAGTTAGGGATGTTCCAAGTCATAGCAGGGGTTTCCAATTGGATTGAGCGTGTAAGACAGAGCTGATCAGATCCAAGTCTAGCTTCTGGCTTTATTTGGAAATTCAAAGCTTACCCTTTCTTGCGCACGACGGTGATTCTCAATTTCAGCTAGCCGAGCTTCTCTAGCTACCTCTCGGCGCTCCCTTTCCGTTCGCTCCTGAAAGACTTGGTTTAAGAGATAGAAAATAAAAAGTAAAAAATATTTACAATATCTGATTATCTGTTTTCTTATTCATTTCTACCTGTCTAAGCATTTCCAACTCGACTTGACGCTGATGAGCGCGCTCGTCAGCAAGGTGTTGCTCCCGTCTCTCCCGCTCCTCACGATCAGCTCTCATTTGTTCCAAGTGTCTAAAAAATGAAAGTCTTTCATTTCTATAATCTTTTAGCATTTATAAATACAACAATAATCATTTCATAAGGAGCATTTCTTAAATAGAAAGACAAAGAAATGGATGGATAAATCCTATCCAAGTTCTACACTAAAACAGCTGATTGTATTGAAATCAATGAGCTTTTCCTGCAGTTATTTGATTCTATTCGTGATTTGAAAGGTTTAACAATTCAGCTCTTATTCTTACCTCATCGAGTTTTCATTCATCTCTTTCATCATCATGATCATTGGATGCATTGCCTGGTGCTTCTCGGCCGATTCGCGAGCCTGTTTCTCTTGATCTAAAATGGATCTTTTCCAAAAAAGAATTGCACATTTACCCAATTTCTTTTGCATTTCATTGAGCTCATCTTGTGTTTTTCTTTTCTCATCATTGAATTTCCGTTGTGTTTCTTGTTGTTTTGCACGGATTCCCTCCATTTTCGCCTTCAATTTCTCCATATTGAGATGCGTGCGTACTTGAGCCTCAAACTCGTTTTCGTGCTTCTAAAATTGAAAAAGTCCAGCATGTTTTCTAAAAAGCACTTATTCTAGACAAACTACCGTAATCATATCGCCAGTTTTCATTCAATTTTTGTATCATTGACTGAGCTTTGTGATTTCTGATCGAATGATATCAAAATTGGGCTGATTGAATGTAAATTAATGGTTTGATTAAGACAGTTTGTTTAGAAAGGTATCTTTTAGAAATCGGAGTTATTCTTGGATATTGCTAAACAAACAAGTATTAGTAATTACTACAATACTAAAGTAACAAGTATTAGTACTTACTCTGAATTCAACACTGACAGAATCCTTGTAATTGTCGAGCATTTGCGCAAGCATTGTTTGATCAATATTTGGCAAATTCATCGACGCTTCACTCAGAAATTCGGCCTGGAAATGAAAGAATTCATTAATCTTTGTGAATTTTTAGTTTCCACCTTTAACACCAACCTTACTCAGCCCATAACGACCTTGCTGAAGTTCTTGAGATTTCTGTAAAATCCCGTCCACATCTTCGAGTTTCTTCACGATTGGGATTTGCTAAAATTGTTTTGAATTGGATAAAGGAGAAGTTCACAAGTATAATAGATTCCTTTCAGTCATTCCTTTCAGTCTTGTAATTTCCCCTCACCTCTTTGAGCAATCTTGCATACTCTTCACCAAGTTGAGCAAACATTTCACGTACTTTCACTTGCAACACCATGATCGCATTGTCGTTTTGCAGGTCGGTGAAACGAAGCTAAATATTTGTTAAGTATTAACTAATTATTAACTTTCTTTTTTGTTTTCATCGAAAAATCCTAATCAACTTACTGTAATCATCTCTTTAAGCAATTCTCTCTTGTAATCGATCAGCTCGAGCTCGTTTTGGAAATCGCTCACGGCTGAAAGGACTCAAAGAGTAAAAGTTTTGTTTGATTTAAAAGTCTTATATATTTTAGCCTCATTTACCATTTTAAAAGTTATCCATCGCCATTGGGAAAGCGTTTGCGTGGCGCTCATTGACGTAGTTGATCTTTTTTTCTTTATTGCCGAGAAGAGTCTCCAAGAAGTCTGGCTAAATAAGAATTTCAAAAAAAAGATGATTAAAAGGGGTAAGGGCCTACCGTGCCTGGCCTACAGTACCTACCACATTTACAGCCTGCATCAAACCTACCTACCCATCAACCGTACTCGATCATTCACAAACCTTCATCTCTTTCTCATAAATCTCATAGGATCCATTAACAGCATCGGCCATTTGCACATCTCTGTAGCGTTGCCGATTATTTTCCTCTTTCTCGTGGCATCGGTCCTAAAAGGTATCATATTTAGAGGACTTTTGAATCAAGTTTTGTTTCAAAAACAAACCAGCAATGACCGTTGGAAACTCTCGAATTCCTTTGCTTTTAGCTCGGTTGAACCGAAAAGCGGATGGGTTTGATACTCCTGAATGAGATTTTAGATAAGTAATGTTAAACCTTCAATATAATAATCTTCTTTCTCTCTAAGACTTAAAATATAGTATCTAGAATCAGTTTTGAATCTAGATTTTAACCTTAAAAGTCTCTTCAACGATGTGCTGAATCGCCTCGTTGTACTCGTTCGGTTTGATCGGGCGATGGTTGTGTAAACGAACGAGCTAAATATAGAAAAGTAATCTGAATTGTTAATTTGTAAATAGGTGAATTTTAATTTATCATAGATAAACTTGAACTTGACCCACTTGTTCATAGAGTTTTGCGAAGGTTTCATTCGAGGCGGATCTCGCTTTCTCGAAGTAGAGCTGAGAGGTAGCCTAGAATAGGAAATTAATCGATTTTCTGTTCACTTTAGCTGAAAAATCCTGTACTGTAACTGTAGCATCGAGTAATTTATGTGCAAAGATTAAAGCGATTAGAAGCGACCTAATGATCGAATGATTAGAAGTGATCTATCGCTCTAACGATCTAATGATCTAACGCTCTGCAACTCTAAGATCTAAGAAAGATCTAACAATCGTAGTCGAGATTTTGCAAACTATAGCTGTAGCCAAAAGTTTAAAAGGTCTTACTGAAGTGCTAAAAGTTACTGTAACCTACCAGGCTTTGATACTACTTATCAAAACTACTTATCAAAAACTCACAGCGAAAGCCGATCCGATCGCCTTGTGATGATTGTCTCTGATGTGCTCGACGAGGTTCTGAAGAGTGAAAATTGTTCTCTTTGGTCTAATGTAATTTTACTACCGTAAATACTGTAATTGGACCCCATGGGGTACTATTTTTTCCCTCCCCCTCTAGGGTGGGGTACTATTAGAGGGTGGGGCACTATTAGAGGGTGGGGCACTATTAGAGGGTGGGGCACTATTAGAGGGTGGGGCACTATTAGAGGGTGGGTTACTATTTTACACCACTATTCAAGTTACCAAATCAGGATACATTAAAATAATTTGTTCAATAGCAAACTTTTTCTTTAGTTTTTATTGGTTTTAACCATTTGGAAATTTAACAGCAAAAAAACAAAAACAACTAACAAGCAAAATCAATAGAAACATCCGAATCAATGAATTCATCATTTTCTTGATCATCAATTCCTCGATGTCCTTGAAATCCCGTCGATGCGAGTGGCTCCAAGAGGTCCTCGATTTCCGTCTCTGTCCGAGCATTTCTCATCGCCTGTAAGTACAATAGATTAAAGATAATTGAATCGATTAAATCGATAATTACAAAGATAAATAAATTAATAAATCGAACCTGCAATCCTGAAGGAATCGGTCCATCCGGCTTGAAACAATTAATCAAATCATCTTCATCTCCATTTAAGGCAATGCCGATCCCACAAGCCTTGAATGATTTTCGAATCATGTCTTCGGTAATTCGCCCCCACGCTTCCAGGATCCAACCCAAGTAGATTTCCATTGATGGAGACTTGGGGTTCCCGCCGCCGGTGCCGTCTTTTCGTGATCGCGTCAAATCGGGAGCCGATATCAAGATCCAATCCTCGTATTGCTGGCGAATGTAGGCCTTGAATGGGGCATTCCATGAAACGTCGGCTGGCTGAAGATATTTTGTCGTGCCACCGGGAACATAGACACAATCCATCTTTAACTTCTCTAGACATTCCTTTGTCGATTCACTTTTGTGGGCAGGGTGTTGATCCCAAACAAGGGAGTGATCGTTCCTTTTTATTGAAGAATCCAAGTCTACCGAAAGAGCGTTGCAAGTATTCCGCCGTGATTCCATTATCGAAGCACTTGTTTTTTCTCTTTCCAACAGAGCAATAACTTTGATTGAAACTTTGTCTCGATTTTTTTGTCCATCGTTTTTCGAGGCATCACGACAAAAGGGCGCAACTTTTTCCCATCGGAACGAGCAGTGAGCATCACGGATATATTCATTTTCTCGTAGCCGCGGGTGAGAACACCAACTTCTTTGGCTCCAATCGCTTCGATGCACTTGCTCGTCGAAGCATCCAGCCAAACCGCCGTCTCATCGCAAGCAACAATGTGCTTGTAATCGCCTTCTTTGATTGTCTTGTTCAGCCTCAGAATGTGCTCGACGATGGCCTTCTCAAATTCGCTTGGCAGCTTTTGACAAGTTGTTGTTGGTGCCCTCAAAGAAAGTTGGTGGCGCCTCAAGAACGACTCCATCCAGCCATGACTTCTTTTGAAAGAGATTTCAGCTTTTTCGAATCGATTGGCCGCTTCATTCCAGATAATCCGGCGTGTCACTCGTTTCTTCTCGGCTCGACGATCCCGTATCCATTCAGCCAAACCGATATCAATCTCGTCCGAGTTCAAGTGGCGTCCGGCTCCATTGAGTCTCTTGCGTCTTCCATGGACGTTCTCAAGCTCGATTTGTTGTTTGATGTAGGAACGCACACATTTTCGATCAATGTTATAGAATGCAGCGGCTGCTTTGATCGAAACATCATTGCCCATCTTTGCAACAGCCAATTTCGTTTTCACATCAATCGCCTTTTTCTTTTTCTTTGTAGGTAGCTCATCCGACTCACTTGAAGATCCTTCAACTTCAGCGTTGACCGAGCTCCTATTGGCATCTTGCTCGGCTCGTTCATCACGCGGTTCTTTGAAGAATTCCCTGTGTATTCGCAACGAGCCCGATATTCCTCAAATCCATCGAGCGATCTTCCATCGAGATTCATATCTGAAAAAATAAAATTAATAAAGTAATAAAAGGCGGGGGTGGTTACTCTGCGCCAAATTCTTTGCGCAACTCGCCATAGCTTTCTGCTAAGTGGGCCAATCTTTATGATTTTGGTGTTACTTTATTGCACTTGTTGAGATCTACAATCATAAAGCTTGGCCCACTTAGAAGAAAGTTATGGCAAGCTGTGCAAAAAATTTGGCGCAAAGTAGCCAGCCCAAATTTAAAAACAACAAATTTATGGGATAAAATTAAAAATACAAACGATTTCTGAAAATACATGAAAATTTTCCGCTTTAAAAGCGTTGTTTGTAATTACGCGTTAGGTGGGGGTGGGGTACTATTAGAGGGGTGGGGTACTATTAGAGGGGTGGGGTATTATTTTTTCCCTCCCCCTCTAGGGTGGGGTACTATTAGAGGGGGGGTACTATTAGAGGGGGTGGGGTCCAATTACAGTATTTACGGTATTTCATGAGGCCAATCAAACTATTCTACGATCAGCTCACTCTACCCACGACTAGTTTCTCTATTAAACAATCATTCAATGCAAACCTCAACATATTGCTTCAGCGTACTCCCAGTCAACTCCGTTCCCATCACCTTTTTCGCTACGAGATTGTTGAGAACGTGATTAGCGGCTCCACAAAGGCCCATCAAGAAATCGGATCCGCAATCTGAAAAGATTCAGTTGGACTTGATTCAACTGGAACTAGCTTCTAAAAGTGATTCAACTCGTTAAAGACTCGACAAAGCTGACCGCCCGCTCGAATCTCTCCACTCGCTCGGAGAACGTGCTCGGATGGACGGGGTACCATGTAACACTCGACGTTCTCAAATGCGTCAAAAACTCCATCTATCAGACGAAGAAGCTCCGGAGCTCGACGAGTGCCAGACTAGAAAGCAATCTGCTGTACTTTGTGCTCAAAATTGAAAGACACTCTTTCTGGTGCACTTTTATTTAGTAAATGTAATAACATTATTACAGTATTGTATTTGTTATAAAGATAAGACCTGGTTCTCTAAAAGCCCGCGAATCCTCTCCATGGCTCGATCTGGATCGGAGAGTCGACCGATCTCAGAAAAGAGAGACTAAAGGTTGAAAATGATCTGAGTTTTTTGCCAGTTTACTGTATTTTTAATGACAATTATCTAACCAATTTTTTGCTTTATTTCTCAAGCTGATTAATGTAATGATCAGATGTAAACAAATGTAAACAAACACCTTATCCGCTAGGCCATCAGTTGACGTTGCTCTCACGCAAGAAAAGCCTTTTAAGCAAGATGTTGAAAACTTGCTGAGTATGAGCAGCTAGTTTTTGCAGGATTTTGGCCAGTTTAGTTCTATAACTTTCCTTGGCGAGCTGGGGGTACTTTGTCAGGGACTTTTGTGGGTCAGATCAGAACAATTCAGCCAAGATTGAGCCTGGATTGAGCCTATCAATCTAGCCTGTATTGATCTGTACCTGATCTGTACCAAAAAACAGACCAAATCCTGCTCCCGATCTTGATTTCAACCCACCTCTTGTGCCACTTTTCGGCAATTCTCACGCATCTCGTCAGTGGCATCAACGTAGTTTTCAAGGAACTGAAAAGTAGGAAATTTAGATGAAAATGTGATTTCTAAGCTATTGAGTTGGAAAACTTGTTTCAGAGACTGGATTTTTGGCATTGAGCACTTTTAACCAGGGATGTTCAAATCCGGATCTCTACACAAACATGCAAAAACGAGAAACCATGACTACGCGACGCTCCAATAGACAGTTCATAGTACTGTCGCGTGGTCATCTTTTTGTTCTTCGTATGCTGGCTTAGAGATCCGGATCCGGACATCGTTGCTTCTAACCTTCATCTTTTCCTGGAACGTTTGGTAGAGCTCCTCAACTTCTCGAGCTTGAAGCTCAGCATCCTAAAAGAAATTTTAACTTTCTGACCGAGGAAAAACTAGGAAAGGAAAAGCAACAATATTTACCGTCAATTTCGACTTCCAGTCATTTTCAGAGCTGCTGAAGCGATTATCGGACATTCTCTTCAATTCTAGATTCGTTTACATGTTTTTCAAAGCACAAAGTTTACTTAAATAACCATTATCCTGTTTAAAAATGAAATAAAATCAAATGCAAAACTATTTTTCTTTAAATAAAAGAATTTCTTCACTCAAACAATACCAAAGATTAATCGCTTTTCAGAAAAAAAAGAAGAAAATATCGGATTTTGATGGTGCAACAAAAGTCGAAGAGAAATGGTTAATAAAACTTTAAAGTTATACAAATTTTACAAAGCTTTTTACTAAATTCTGATTAAATTTGAGAACTTTTTAAATAAATAAAGCTATTTGAAAATTTAAATGCTATGTCAAAGTCGTTATCAAAAAAATTTTAATCGAAAATTTTGTGTTGCAAGAAAATGAGTGATTTTGGAAAGAAAGACGATTGCGAAAGCTTAAAAAATTTTTTGAAGCTCAAATTTTGTTCATTTTTTATTACAAACAGCATTAGAAATATTAATTTGGATTCTAAAAAGAGATTAAAAAGGAGATTTTGAAAATGAGATTGGATTTATTTGCAAATTTTCTTCTCTTTTCGAAAAAATTGATTTGATTTGATTTGCGGTTTGATTACGGTAGTTTGTCTAAAATATGCGTCTTTTAAGCTTTAGGTAAATGGTAGGCAAGTACGGTAATCCTGTGAAGACCTTTGTTTTGTTTATTTCAAATTTCAGATGTCCTATGAGGTACCAGATCGTTTACAAGATCACAAGGGGTATCGGCCGGTAAACTGTGTGAGTTCAAGAGTTGAACTGAAATTGAACAAGAATATGAATTTGAATCATACAACTATATTCGTATCTTAGCATTCTGACTTTCGTTTCAGAGCGAAGAAAACGTGCTTCTTCCTTTGGTGACTTTTGAGGAAGACGAGATTCACTTTGATGAGCAGATTGCAAGAGAAACATTCGCGAATCAAGTTTATCATGGAAAAAAGGTTGGAGTTGAATTAACTAACTAACTTTTTTTCTAATTAACTTTCTTATATAAGAGAAATTTTTACACTAGAAGCATAAAGCAGCACAACAACACCAAGAATTTCTCTCTTTTCACTATTTTAAAAGATTTACTAACGATGAAAAGCTTACAGATCAGTCTTGTGACTGTAATGGGCCCATCAAGGATGGGCAAGAGTTTCTTGATGTCATTTTTGGCTGGTGGAATGAAAGAAAACAAAATTAGGTTTGTTTTGAACAAATATTTCACCTCTCATTCCTTCAGTGGTGCTTTTCAAAGCGGCTACGAGCGGTACACAGAGGGAATTCTGATCTTCGTCAATCCGATGATCTCGAAAGATGTGAGTTGCCTTGATTACAATTTGTTTGACCTGAATTGGTCCAATCCTGTCTTGGCTTACCCCTGGCTTGAACTAGTTCGGTCTAGTCCAATCAAAGCTAGATCAAGCCCTAGTTTTGCTCTGGAGCGGTAACAATTGTTACTCAAACTTAGTCCTGTACTGGCCCAGTCAGAGCAGAGCCTGATTTCCAGGCTTATTCTAGACTATCAGGCTATTCCTAGACTTTCAGGCTGTCCTCTGGCTTCCAGGCAATCCTTAGGTTTCTAGGCCATCCGTAGGCTTCCAGGCTTATTCTAGACTTTCAGGCTATTCCCAGACTTTCAGGCTATCTTAGGCTTCCAGGCTATCCTTAGGTTTCTAGGCTATCCCTAAGCTGACCTAGTCCTAGTGATCAGGTTGAAGCATCTCTGGTACAGTCCGCACAATCCAGTTCTTCTTTTTTAAATTACATTAAGCATAAGACTCTATCCTGGCGGCAATGGAATAAGTGTCTATATAACTCATTGGTAGAGCGTTCGCCCGAAAAGCTACAGGTCGCGGGTTCGGATCCCGGCGGAGACGATTGTTTGCATTTCCAACCCAAATTTTGTTCTCTTGTGTATTCCCAACCGAGTGTGTCCAACCTTACCAAGTGCATGGTGCAAGCAACTATTCTGAAATTCTAAAAGAATAGGATTTCGAACTTTGTCCAAGTGCTCTTTCACAACTGGCTCCCAAAAGGCAGTTGTTTTTGTGTTGAATTGCTGAAGGAAATTTTCCCCGGCTTCAATTTTACAGCTCTGATAAGACAGATTTGTGCACAAGAAATACTCAGTAAAGCGCTTGGCAGGAAATTTTCTTGCAAACAAAAACAAAAATGAATTTGAAATAAAGAAACATTTTCAGGGAACACACGTGATTTTCTTTCTGGACACTCAGGGGACATTCGATTTGAAAACGGCGAGAAATATCTCGGCGTGGATCGCTGGGTTTAGTCTACTCATCTCCGATGTTCAGGTTTTGTTGACATCGGAACAGATGAGTAATCTCCGATTGAAGAACTGTGAAAGTCACTATTGTAGACCTTGGGAAAAGCCTTAAACAAACAAATTGTTATGTAAATTTCATTCTCGACAATGAAAATTTCGAATTTTCTAAGCTTGAAAATTCCTGAAATTTCAGCCCTATCTATTTTGTGATTTTCATTATTCAAGGATCTTTTTGTCCACTTTTTCAGATTGTTAATCTTCGAGGAAATATTGGCGGCGATGATCTTCATGATTTGAATCTGTTTGTTGAATCAGCTGCTGCTTTTAAAGAAGGCTCAGTGGCAAAGGTAGGATCGTTGATATTTGAGTGTACAATCGTTAACGGTTATACTAAAAAAAATTAGGTAAATTCAAAGATAAACTAATCTATTGTAGTGATTCGATAGCCCTGAATCTCCTGTTGAAAACTAGCATAAAATTGCTGCAAAATTTCAATGAAATAAATAACAAAAGCCTTAAAGACGGGTTGTCAGCAAAAAAAACTGTCATTAGTTGTATCGTCGTGAATATGTTAACCAAGTTTGTGTCAGAACGGGTGCGTTTACAATAAAATTTATAGGAGAGCTAGTATTTAATAGTATTATACCGTACATTGACTTTGACAATCTAACTTTGAGCGCAAATATCTTGGTGTTAGGCTTTTCAATTTGTAAATTATTGGTATCATTGGATGCGCCAAGTCTTTCTCTGTCGATTGGTACAAAAATTATATATATTGAACAGCGAAACACCAAGAAATTTGAGCTCAAAGTTAGATTGTTGATGGGGAAAGGAGGGGCGTGTATCAAATGCTCTACATTCTATTTAGAGTCTAATTTTCGTGATTCGCGATGCGGCTGATTGGAAAGAGAGCGATTTTTTCGAGAAATTATGGGTATTGGGATTTCAGTTTCATATTTTTAAACGATAAAGTTCTAGAATCAAAATGAGAAGTCGAAAGAAATGAAAGAAATCGCTGGGTCGTTGAAAAAGCGCTTTATAAATGGAATCGATTGCGTTTGCGTGGCGCCAGTTTCGGATCGGATTCGACGAGCTGATCGAATGATTGAGTTACGAGAAGAGGGTACTGTAGTAAAAAGCATTCTTTAGTAAATAGCAGAACAAAGCAGAACTGTTTTTAGATCAAACACTGATCCAGTGCCTTAAACGAGTTCAACAATTGATCTATGAAAAGTGTCAGCTTGAGAGCAAAGCTCAACTACAAGCTCCAATCGAACTAGCCAAAGTTTAATTGAGAAGAGATTTTGTAAAGAAAAATTTAGAAAATCACGGCTTATCTCCAAGACGAAGCTCCGGAGTTGAGGCCAACTGTTCAGGTCTTTCAGACTAACTTTCGTGAGTAATTGCAAGGTTTAGGTGATTCAAGAAGCCACCGTAATCCAAACAGTGAACAAAGCATTTGATGTCTTTGCGAAAGCAATCAAGGTATCTTGGCAAAAGAAAAATGACTCTTGCTTTCCTTTCTGCTTTGAAAAAATGCTTTCCGGGTATTTTGAATGAATCGTTACACTTTGAAGGCCTATAACTTTGCCCAGACCTGGAACTGGACTTGAACGTAAACTTATTCTTTAACCTGGAACTTGTTCTAGATCTGTTTTGAGCCTGGAACAGGAGCTGGAGCTACAGCTGGACTTAGACCTAGACCTGATCCTAAATCTGGAGCTGGATCTGGAGCTGGTTTGAATCTAGAACTGGAGCTGGAGCTTACTATTGCTAACTTTTAATATGATTATAAAGAAGGTATTTCAGACTTTCAAATGATACCAAATACAGTCTACTTGGATAATCCAGTACAGAGAAATCAAAGCCAACTCTAATCAATCGAGGCCGATCCAACTTGGGTGCCTTGCCGCCTGGTTTTCATGGGAATGAAAAATCCAATCAAAATTTATTTCTTATCATTCGAAACTCTGAAATCTCATCTATAAAACTATATTAGTTGAATTAGTTGAATCATATTATTAGTTGAAAAGCTAGTTGAATAATATTATCTCTGGATAAAGTTATAACCCTTCAAGTGTGACGACTCAAACGACGAAATCTTCAAAATACCCGGAAACTTTCAAAACAAAGCCGAAAAACTTTACTCTACAAAAATATTTCAGACTTCGACTTCGGAAACTTTGTCAATGGCTGAAGCTTTAGGGAAAGCTGAAGTTCATCGAAAATTGGAAACCCTGTTGCTGAAAAAGGAAAATCTCATTGCTGAAGCTCACGCTTTGTTGGATCCAAAGATTGAGGCAAGGGAAAAAAGTATTTCAGACGAAACATTGCTTTGTTCATTTTGTGACTGAACTGGGTAACTGAACGTCTTGAAATAGTTTAGTTTACTTAAGCTTACCTGTTAAATTCAGTTTCCGGTATAGTCATTTATACTATTTTTCGGATCTTTACCCAATTAGAAAAAAAGGGAACTTACATTTATTTTGTTTTGGTTGGCGAGAAAACTATGTGAAAGTATTTTGATAGTACCAAGAGATAATAAAAACAGTTTTTTTTACAATAGGAAATGATTCTGGAGAGGAAAAACAAGTTGGCTCAAATGAAAAAGGAGAAGGACGAAGAGAAAGCGGCTGAGAAGTTTGCCCAAGAATTTAGAACGAAAATTCACAAGGTAGGTTTAAAAATTGATACTAAAATACTTATACTAAGAT